TAAAAGTTAGAAAGAAGATCATTGGCTTGATGTTGAAATGTTGTCCATTTCTTGCCTTTTTTTTAAATTAAAAGGCATGAAAAAATAACTTCTTTCTGAATTAGAAAAAATGAATACCTTTTCGTGGGCCCTAGGCCCTGTGCTCACTGTGCCTAAGGCGGTGCTGCATCATCTCCCTGGGCCTCGTCCAGTGTGTTGACCATTATGCTAGGTTAACTTTCCCTTGTCTGATCCATGACCGCTGCTCTCACTTACCTGTAGGCTGACGCAGATGGTGATGACAGCAAACCAAATGACCTTCCAAAGCCGTCTGGTGATGTTGCCCTTGGCCATCCTCTTGGACCTTTCAAACAGAGAGCAGAAAAGGACTTTGCAGCTCAATATGTGTATTTCTCAAGTGCCCCCTGCCAGAAACTGAATGACTAAAGCAAACTGGGCAGCAAGTCCAAGCCAGGCTCTGGAAGCGATGCAGCCTAAACAATGGAGGTTTGTACTGGCCAGGAGTACAGACTTGCAAGGAACAACATGAGCCCAGCGCGAAGAACGAGGGACTTTCAATTAGGGCAGTAGAAGCCACCCTTTCCCCCTTGCTCCTTCAGTCAGTTTATCAAGGCAGAAACCTTCTCTGTCCCCTCATCCCCTGAAGCCAAAACGAAATCAAACCTGCTCAGCTATTTCAACACTTTTTGCCCTGCTTCCCAACAAGAGAAGTGAAGCCCAGAACTCCAAGCTGTATTTGCCAAAACATCCAAGCCATGTTGGAAAAAACAACAGCTCTTGCTAACTTTGCAGAAAGGGGAGGGGGGAGTTTCATGGATTGTTTCATGGATTAGAAACAGAGGATCTTTAACTGTTTTTGTCTAAAGGGCAAAGTTAAATTGCCTTTCTTGGAGTGCCAAAATAAATTCTTTTGTTAAAATCTGCAGAGAATTACACACAGAGACACACCAACTGCTGGTTTTACTCTCCCTTTCTATGAAAAGCATTTTCCCCACCCAAAACCTAATTGCAAAAAGTTTCCGATTTTAGCCAACCGGCTGGCAAGGGCCCATCTTCATAACACTACAGGGGTCTGCAGCATTGCCCAAGGTGAAAAGAACACCCGCAACTCCAGGGCCAGAGTTCCCCTCCATAAAGTGCTCTCTTGTGCTTCTTCTCTTCCATCCACGTGCCCAGCGTGGCTGCCTGTCTTGTCATGGCAGCCCTCCAAAAGAGGCTGAATGATTGGGTCTAACTGTGTTTTTTAAGAGCCATGTCTGAGAGCCACCCATTTCTGAGAAATTAAAATGCCTAAATTCAGTGATTCGAGCTGCATGAAATAGCTCGAGATGTGCTGGATTCCTGGTGACTTTACTTATTTAGAAGATTTACATAGCTGCCCACCTCACTAAACTGCAATTCGGAGCAGCCTATATCAAATATCCTTCCCTCTCCTCCCTCCCCCCCCAAACTGTCATGACACATTCACAGAGTTTTCTTAGTAACAATATGGAAATCGTTTGCTATTGCCTTGCTCAGGATGTTGTTCAATTTCCCCGTTCAGCCTAGAGCTCTGGAAATCCATAATGCCTCTCCAGATATTAACTAGGCCCTGTTTAGTTTCTCAGCTCAACAAAGATCAACCAGAGTGAAGCTCAATTTGAAAACAAAGGCCACCCACCACCTATAACAATTACAATAACAATAGCAGAGATCAAGGCAGAAGGGCCTAACAGGGTTGATTTTTTTTTCCTCCCGGTCCTCCTTTCTATAAGATTTAATTCTGGAGACTTCCCCTGCAGATAAAGCATTCTTCCAAAATATCCTTCATCACACCTTTAAACCCCTGAACAAAAAATAACCAAAAATAAATAAATAAGAGGGAGAAGAATCTAGTACAAAAGGGAGTAGAGCGGTTAGTTTCAGATCAAAGCCAGTCAGACATCGTTTCAAATCCTTCCTCGAACACTGAACCCAGGTGACTAGCTCAAACTACCTCACAGGACAGTTGTGAAAAGCAGGAGAACATCACGATTGTAGGGGAGAATGTGAAGCCAGAACTTTTCCTTTTAGGACTAATGGATAAACAGTTAGAAAAAAGCCATGGAAGATTATTTCAATATACGATTACTGCAGCGACATTATTATATGGACAGAGATGGAAACATTCAATACTACCCACTAAGGGGGAATGGTTGGTGAGGTTGACAGATCTTGCTGAAATGGATAAATTGACTTCTTTGATTAGAGAAAAGACATTGTCTACATTTATTGGTGACTAGAAACCCCTTATGAAATTTTTGCATAAAAATGAAAAAATGAACTTCTGATTTATGGCTTTGATGATTAGACAGGATAGATGATAGAAAGAAGAGTATTATGATGTAACTTTAGAGAGGTTAACTGCTTATAACTGCTGTGAAGAATATAGGAAGCCACTTCTTCGTATCTTTTTTCTTTTCTATTTTTCTTCAACTTTTTTTCTTTTCTTGCACTTTTTGCTTTCTCTTTGCTTTCTTTCCTTTTTTCTTCCTTACTTTATATTAGTTTGTATTAATTTGTATCTTCTTTTTTAAAAGTTTCAATAAAAATTATATGCACATAAAAAAATGATCGTGGGGAGATGGCCTCGAAGAAGGAATGCAGCAGCTGTTACAAAAACATCACCTTAGCCTGGAAAGATAGGAAGGGTAAGGAAGAAACTCAAGATTGATCCCCCTTGACTCTCATGAGAATAAGAGGATGCCACAGAGAAACTCCGTCAGGTTTTCAAGATTCTTGTTCTACACTATAAAAGTAAAGTACACTTCCAGAAGTTCTTATCATGTCTGTTTCCTGACCTGGCCTCCCTCAAAGGGCTGACAATGACTGGGTTCATGCAAACACAAAATTGGTCCATTACACATCAACCCAACTAACGTAGTCTGTGGCTCTGTGGTTGAGTTCACTCAATGCACATAACCAAGTCTGTTAAAAACCTACCTGTGCACAACAGGCTATGCTTGCTTAGTTTTAAGCTTGGGTTGTTTTTTCATGGCTTGGCATGTTTTACGTCCCAAGCCCATATGTTTAGTTTATCCTTCAGTACCTTGTGCAAACCCGGAAGCAGTTAATCTTTCTGTGCAGATACCAACCCAGAACACTGATAAATATGTGTATTGTGCAAACACAGCCCATGTATGCCACCTTGTGCAAAATAAGTAGAGCAAGAGAATGCTCCTCATTCCAGGAATATCACTTTAAGAACACTTTAAGTCAAAAGTATTTGAATTAGATTTGATTACATTAAGGAGGCTGCCAGATTTATCCCTCCAATTTGGTTTCTTCAACAGCCACCCCACTCTGTAAGAATCCCACTTTCAGACTTAAAAAAAAAAAAAAAAATCTGTTCCTGCATTGAGATACTTACATGTATGTGTTATCCTGAGTCGTGCTACAAAATTGATTGGATTTCCAAATAAGGGTTTGGAAATCATGTCCAAATAATGTTGAAGTTTGCAATGCCACTGGAACCTCATTCTCTTACATTTCTTCCATGCAAAGTCTCTGTGTCACAGCAGGATTAAGCCAACAAAGGTCACACTACTGACTTTGAAATGGGATAGGATACAAAAATGCCTGTGATGTACGTTACATAATGTAGAATGGCAGGCATAGTGGGAGAGTGGCTGCGTTCAACACCACAAATTAAGTGCCTGGCGGCTTAGCTACGTTATGACAAAGCCGCAATCCATGGTTTGCAAGCTGCAACTACTGAGCTCACCCAACCTGATAAACCAAAACCGAACAATCCACCTTATAACTTAATGTAATATATGAACACAGCCAGTACCTCTGAATCTTGTGGAAGACCTTTGCTAACCATACTTTGAATGGCTGTCTTTTTTCAGCCTGCAGTTATTTAGCTACTCCTGCTTTGTTCCAGAGGTTCAAGGACATTGCTCCGGCTCCCCTTCCCCAATTTATTGGCACAACGACTTTGCGAAACAGGTGAGTTACACTGATTTTCCCCAACACTCTAGCCCAAGGTTGCTCAACCTTGGCAACTGTAAGATGTCTGAACTTCAGCTCCCAGAATTCCCCAGCCAGCTGGCTGGGGAATTCTGGGAG